AGGATTTCCATAACAATATATTTCTCTATTGCTTCCATGAGTGGTGTATTTTCAACCTACACGTGAGAAATTTTACGATTTTTTTCCTGGAAATTTCCAGTTTTCCCCCCATGTTTTCATGTCTAGTGCCATGTATACCTGTGAGTGTGAATTCCAGCGGATATGAACCAGTCGTGGGAGTCTCCGATTTGCTCAATGCGGCCGAGCTGAGCGACAGCGATCGTTGGGGTTTCCAATATGACGATTCAATGACAGCTCGAGTGAACGATTATGAAAAGTAGTGGTATGGGAAAATCAGATTTTTTCATGGGAAAAAATTTTTTTCCAGGAATTTTTTCGCTGCGAAAAGAACGAGGAGAGAAGCGCGATTTGAGAAGGCGTTGCGGAGGTGATGAGAGAGTGGTTACAGTTTGGTAGTACGCGTGTGCATGCGTGCAGATTTGGATCGATTGAAGAAATTCCCGACGATGACATAAAGGAATTTGGACGGAAAGGATTCCCCGACAAACACCGAGTTGAAATATGGAAGTATGAGCTTGAGGTGATAAGATTGAGGAATGAAATTATCCAGAAACCTATAATGGAGTTTCATAAGTGATATGACAACGCCACTTGACGTGAAACGTGTCGTGAAACTGCAGTGCTCCCGGGAGGAGCTCATCAGTTGGAATTTTCACATGGCTAGGAGCACGATCAGTTTCCCATGTCAATGTGACAACTTCGGAACAATTTCCCCCATGAAATCTACGAGATTTAGATTATTATTATTGGAGTTTCACCCGTGATATGAGAGATATATTTCGTCATTCACAATCGTCTCCGTGCATTTGATGGTGTGGAAAGTGAATATTTCGAGTCACCCATCGCCCAATTTTTTCATGTGATATGCGGTGGTGTGTCCACGGAGGTACTTTCATTTCACTACATATTGTTGACCCCGCGTTTTTCACACGGAGTATTATGCCACTGGACGTAGAACATGTGAAAATTCGATTATGAGGTTGGTTCGATATTACATTGGAGTTTCACCCGTGATATAAAAAACACTAGTAAAAATTATATTCCACGACTACTGCATACCGCAAGTATCGCGTTTTTCCACGCGAACATGAAAAAAAATCTCGTCTTTTTTCGCGAATTTCCGCGAGTACTACGTCACTTCACGTGAAACGGGTGAAACTCCATCGAAAGACGATTTAAACGAAATAAACGAAAGTCAAAATTCATGATTTTTATTCCAGATCTCTGCGGTCCGTTCTCATCATGATGGGAATTTTTATGAGGCGCTTCTTAGTGAAAAGTTGCCGAGTAAAATAGGAAGAGTAATTGAAGTCGATTTGAGGCGGACGTTTCCGCATCATCCAGCTTTCCAGGAGGACATTGTTGTGGAAAGGTTACGGAATGTAGTTATTGATAATCGATCAGGTGATCGATTTGGATGTTACTATAGATACTGTGGGCATTCGCTGTATTCCACCCGGATGTTGGGTATTGTCAAGGGATGAACTTTATAGCGGCTACTATGATGATGGTCGTATTCGATGGCGCGGTGAAAGGAGAGGATCCCCATCGAGAAAAGGAAGAATGTAATAGAATGTGATGTAATCTGTGGCATATTTAAACAACGGAGTTTCACCCGTTTAACGTGAAGTGGCGTAATACTTCATGCAATTTTAAGGCTTTTGCGAACACCGATAACACAATTGGTTTGCACGAAGTGAATTGTGAGATGTGTTTTTCATATCTCGGGTAGAACCTCAACAACACGAACCACTGCATATCACCGCGAATATCGGGTATTACGCCACTCGACGGTAAACGGGTGAAACTCCAGTTTTAAGCGTGGCGTATTTGAACAACGTTATCATGTTTGGAGAGTTTCTATACGAATTTTCAGGGTAATTCGAGCAGTAGTTGAACGAAATTGGGCTTTTATATTATGCGTGGTATACATTGGATGATAGGATGGGCTCATTTCGATTTGAAATATTAGCTTAGAGTTAGTGGAGCCAGACATATATCAATATTGGAGTTTCACCCGTGATATGAAAAACATCAGTGAAATATATATTTCGCGACTATTGGATAGCGCGAATATCGGTTTTTTCACAGAGTATTACGTCACTTCACGTAAAACGGGTCGTGAAACTCCAGTGTGTTAGTAGGAATCGTACTGTATTACGATGAGGTCGGTAGGATAGTAGGTTGATGAAGTGTCTCGGTTTTAGTGACATTCTGGTTGTTGTCTCAATTCATCACCTCGGATCAAGGTCTGCATAATAGTGGATATTACCAACCTGGAATGACGGCATTACTAAGGGATATGTAGTAGTTGTGGGAAACTCGTCTGAGGGTGTTGTTGTGATAGTATTGAGCGGGTCTTGTATGGCTTCCATTTACCTTGTTCATCATAGGGTTGGTATAAAGTGATTTGAAAACTCCGTGTGCTGAGAAAATCATCTGAGTTCCCGAACGAAGTTGCTGATTGCTGAGTACCAGTGTTGGAGGAATGTATATGTTCGCTCTCCTTAGCGGAGCACAGGAATTTGTATATACGAATTAGAGTAGAAGTGTACAGAAAATTCTCAAAGTTTTCATATCATCACCGACACATGTGTACACTTTCCTACACCGCGGAATTCTGATGAAGTCTTAAGAAAGCGTCCGAAATTAGAAAAGTGTTATGCCGTTATTATGAAGGTACGCATTCGATCGTTTGTCGGGTCGGAAGGCAACTAATGCACATCGACATTTGGAAGAATGTGGCATTCAGGATATGTCCTGGATATGTAGGATACCCGTGCACCGCAGCGCGAAGATTTTCTCATTGTTGTTTAGGTGTGGAGTGGTTTCAAACGGTGTATTCTACGGTTTTCGCCTTCGATACCGTGTTACGGATTTGGGATCCGATAATGGTGAGGGAATCTTCCATGCTTCGCTCCGCCTTTTTTTGTGGAAAAATTGAGACAGATGCTGAGGGTGTGTTCAGCATTCACTGATTTTGGATTTTAGGATAGTTTTTTGACCTTGAAATTCCTCCGGGTTTTGGAAATAATTCCGTAAATTTTACACCGTGGAATGAGTGGTGTTTAATAGACTGATTTCGAATTAAAGGATGTCACATCGTTGTGAGAATAGAACTCAACCATGACTAGTTTACTGAATGCGTAGGAGGTGATATTCTCAGTACTTATCGTAAAAACGCTGAGCGAAAAAGTCCGCAGGATATCACTTGCGGAATTTTTCGCTCAGCGTTTTAATTGGATACGTAGTGAGCGTTTTATGGTGGGTAATTCGTTTTGTCAGACGGAAGGTTGGAAGATTCTGTTCCGCGTGGGAGTGGCGATTTTCAAGATATTCCAGGATGAATTAGATGCGATGGATTTCGAACACATTATGCAAAATCATAAGAAATTAACGTCGAAGTTCGTGGACCACAACAGGTTGATGAAGGTGGCATTCTACGGTTTGGGTGAGGTTGCCAAAGGAGTGGTATGAGATTATATAATTGTATAATAGGCGTGGTGAAACGTTCCCAAATTGGTGACTATCGTCGAGCTGCTCCTCGTCACAATCCATCGAAACCAAGCCGGTCCACCTCAGCTGAGTTGATGTCGATTCAGCAGTGTAGGTTGTTGTAATTGGTATCTTTTGTTCATGCGTGCAAGGAGGTTCAGGTAAGGTGCACCGAGATAGCAAAGACCCGACTAGCAACACTAAGCATGAGGAGTTGGTGGTGTCGGGCAAGCAGGAAAACCGTATTGCGGTTTATCACGACATTGGAACATTGGAGGATGGCGAAACTGAGGAAAATAGAAAATGGATCGGAAAGAATCTCTATGATACGGAAGGCTTTAATTTAGCGGGCTTGGCAAATCGTCATAATACAGAAGACTCGGATGACGGTCTGGTGTTTTCGCTACCTGATAGAACGTTGAGTGACCCGCTGGAAGGAGAATGTTTTGGTGATGATGGAAATGAAGGTGAAGTTTACGAGGATCGAGGGTTGCTGGAGCGTAGCAGTGGAGAAAGAGGGGAAATGCCGAGTGTTTTGGAGGGTAGCCAGAGAGAGAAGGTGAAGGTATCTTCGACTTGACTACTGTCTAGTGATGTCTTATTACATCGTATATTATTACAATGTACGTGCACACTAATTTTCTGGATATTATAATGTGTGGAGTAATGAATTATGTTGTGATCCGCCGCGAATTGGGAATTCAGCTGCTCAGATATACTAAAGGGAAAACAGATTAAAGCAATACTTATGCTCGATCACTAGTCTCAGCGTTTATTGGAGGTCACCAACTGCGGTGATCAAAGTTGTTTGTAATGCAATTAAAAGGGAGGATAGTCCAGGGTCAAAGCGAGCGCTGATCGAGGCTTTGTGTGGCAAGGAAACTAGGCTGATGACCAGTAGGGGCTACGAGAGGCTGAATGTTGCCTGTTGTTTTAGTTTGATAATGTTACTTTTTCCACCAACTCGTATGAAGGGGTATCTGAGGTCAAGCGGCTGAGTCGAATGACTCGATCATCCTCTTGCCTGAGATTGCAGCTCAGATGAGCTTCTGATTTTCGAGACCAGAAAACTCATCTGACCAGCCACATAACCCATAACTCTTTGGTTCAGGTCAAATGACATGTTGTCTGCGTTGGACGCTGAACTCACACACACACACTATACAACCAAATACCTTGAGAATCTCCAATGATTATGTGCTTCCGACGATGTATCACACTATGTCAATCGAGGGTGTTTACCCTCCATACTTCACCTATGGTAAATTACGATCTCGTACGTCATTTCCCACACTGCGAACGCGATCCATATGAGGTGAGCAGAACCCATAGATCCTGATTATTGGACCACATGCTCAATAATAGTGTAACTCATAACGATCGAGCCATATATTGAACGCGGGCCATAGTGTTTGATATGCCCGGGCACGCTAAAATATTTCCGGAATGGAAAATTTCCGGGAAATTTCCGGAAATTTTCCCCGAAATATAATCAATCGAGAAATTTTCGCTCGCCCTATCGGGCGAGCGCTCTAGTACTAGAGGTTGTTGCGTTGCCATTTCTATGCCAATTCCAATGCCAATGCCAGTGCATTGCGTTAATGACATGTACCGATGTCATTAGTCACAACCGTAACCCATACTGTTACCCAACTTGTTATGATCGTAGCGTTCTAACGGAATGTTCCTCGACAGCGCATGATGTTGCCCAAAATGATCACCGGACGATCAGGGCGTCGTGGTAGAGGCTCTGGAAGGGGTCGTTTAGACTGTCGAGGATACTATTACCTTGTGAAGAAGTCAGTCGAAGATGGCAAGACGACCAGTGTCCATCGTTGTATACTTTGCGTGGAGGAGGGGCGGGAAAAGCCTCAAGATTATGCAATAGACATTGTCTATTAGACAATCCCATGAGATTCTACGATCACATATTGAAGTCCCACCCGCATGCTCTGCAAGGTCTCAGCGCCACTGATTGTGTCGCTTCCGATGCCGACACAGCGCCTGACCTTCGCACTCCCGCCAACCCTCCAGCGCGAGCTTTTGGTCACAGACAAATCTCCGTCAGTACAGGGTTCAGGGAAGATGGTAATACTCCTATCACGCAACATTTTGCGCCTGTGCCGTCCAAGGATGCGATGTTGAAATATCGAGATGAGTTGGCTATCGCAGCCATCTATAACGATTGGGAGATTGGTGGTATTGTCAATGATGTGTTAGTAAAATGCCAAGAGACCCTCAGGCCGGCCATCACCGATGCGATGCGAAAGTACAATGTGGACGACAACTTCTGAGATGTTCTGAGATATGAACGACTTCTTTTCTTATGAAAAAAGAACTCTGAGATGGACATGCCCGACGTCAGATGAGCACAGTGGTTGAATTTTGGGCGAGCGAATAAAAGGAATATCTGCGCAACAAAATACTTCCATTCGGCATACACATACTAGCAGACTGTTAGCAGTCATTATTATTAATTTTCCTTTCGAGGATTCAACTTAGAATAATACGAATTTCGTTTGAGATAGAATATTACATTTCGCCATCGAAAACGGATGGAATTTTACGAAAAAGTATTATTTTTCCAGTATTTTCCCATTCCGAAAACGGAGCGGAAATTTTCCGGAAAATTTCCGTGCCCGGAAATTTCCAAATGCCCGTGCAAACACTATGACGCGGGCCATCTACAACACATCAACATGAGGCATCATGGTCCAGATAAGTGAAGCGTGTGCGGCCAGACGTACCAAATCTAAGATTCCTCACCCCAGAACGTGAGTTCGAAGACGTCACAGGACGCATCATGCCTGTGATTTGCTGCATCACTTACAGGCTAAGACCTTGGAACCCAATCGATGGAGTCAACCTTCTATTTCCCATGAAACTGATCTTAAGAGACTTTAGCGCGCGCCACACTCACGCAGCACCACGTGATTGCAAGACCAATCTCTGGTCACAGACCCGTTAGCGTAGAGTTCTATGTGTACGCGGATCATCTGCCAATTTCCACGGCTCGTTTAACTTTAGCTTTTTATTTGCGGCCTTATTCAGTAGACAGGTCGCACCTGCGTGATGTGCGTAAAAAGTTTGGGTGCACTCTTTCAGGGGCCCCCACCCCTGGCACAGGCTTATGCCATCATGGCATATGTCGAAGCTTTGGGCAAAGCAAGTGCCCAAAACCCAGTCTCAGGATAGGGCCGTAGGCTATGGTGAGATCTATAAGCCGTTCTGCTAAATCATCGCGAGTTGTGGAGCTGAAACCAAGCTCGTGCATCATTTCCACCGTGGCGTGAGTGGGCGGGCTGAAAATGACGTTCACAGCCACAGCCTGCGACCCGCATGCCGAGATAACACTATTAACAATATAGTTCCGAGAGTCAAAAGCGAGAGCAATTATTCAACGCCGATCCATGATCTCTACCGCAACTGTCGTCAAGAATCTTTCGTAGTGCGCCACATCATGTGGCCCACATGGAACGGCCATTGCTAACCTTGTCTACTGCGTAAACATCATTCTTTCCGATCCACCGTTTACAGGATTCACTGTTATCAAGGCCACCAACCGCCAGAAACTAAACCCATACTACACCCTCTCCTCTGGAGAGGGGTTCTGCCACAGTCGAGAAGACGAACAGAATAATCAAGTCGAGGGAGACAGTGTCTGCACTGGGAGAAAAGTTTCGGTAGAGGAGCTTGAGAACGTGATCATCTCTTCCTAACGGAAAGCTCCCTGGACACGACCAGGTTTTCCATGAACATGTCTGCGTGACCTTCGAATGCACATCTTGGCGCGAAGAGTGGGTCGAACTGGTTAACAGCTGCCTTGACAGATCACCTTATCTGAACTGCTCCAAGAAGGCGGACATTATCATGCTGTATAAGGGAGCTAACACTGTTGCCCTGTCAGGGCAAGAAAGAAGAAATGGCGCCCGGTCTCGCTGCTGATGACACCGGCCAAGCTACTAGAGAGAGTGACTACTCGAAGACTGTACCAGTAACTTGAACTGCCTGACAATGTGCATGAATTCCGCCGCGGGAGGGGCACGCACACGGCCATGAGGTCGATTCGGAAGAGTCCCGAACGGGGTGATCGGAAGCTCCATGGTATCTTGGTGGCATTCGATGTACCATCAGCCTCCGATGAAATAGGACATGCTGTACTGATTCGCAAGGTAGCCAGAGCTACGAATCCGGCGTTTGCGAAGCTAGTGGCTAGCTACCTCTACGGTCAAACAGTCGGCCTGGACAGAAGTTCCGGAGGCGAGTGAGGGAATGCCTCACTCGGGGGATTCCCTCTCGAGTTCACAAATTATGTGAGCTCGTCACCGTGTTTGGTCGCTCGGCTGGCTTTGGACGACCCACACACTCTTCTTTTCGCACACTGGTGATCATGGACGACGAACAAAGCGTCGAAGAGATGGAGTTCCAACATGCTAATGTGAGAACCGTGTGCTTGAGTAGGGCATACCACCTTTGCATTAGCGAAGCTGCTTTGTCAAACCGCGGAGGCTGAGACTCCGAAGGTAAGAAACTCACGCGAGCGGAGACCAGAGAGATCTTCAGTGAAGATTCTCTAAGAAATGAGCGAAACGTGGCGTATAATTGTTCTCCTTTGCAAGCGAGCTCGTACATTGCTTTTGGTCTGACAGGATTATTGCGAATCCCAGGGGTGGGTTGCCCCGCGTCAATTTTGTTGACCTAAATCGAGGGTGAGCGAATCCACTGCCAATCAATGGCCATTGTCGACGAGGAAACCCCTGAATTATGAACTGTGAGACAACTCCTAGTCGCTCTAGCAGAAAGAAGATTGCTGTTCGTCCGAGTACTGAGCAGTAGAATTTCTCAACCCTCATCACATAACAAACTCGTGAATCCTCACTGAGTCCTCGATGACCAAAACAAAGAGTCACGGGCCGTAGATCATCGAAGCTAGAATAGACAAGGTTTCCGCGTCACCGATTGGGCCACATCCCGTCCCGATATCATATCGGCGATATACTCATTGTAAGCGTCGACCAATCATCAAGTCTCATTCGGGACGAAACAGAAGGTATTACTAACGACCTAATACGCAGAATCAAAAGAGTAGGATTTTTACACCGGACAGAGATAGCATACGAAGTATTACGGAAGAAAAAATAGAGGGTCTTCCCTTGTTGGCCTCGCTCGGACGGCAACTGTCACATGTGAAGAGAATACGAGAAAAAATCGAACCTTAGGAAACAGGTCCTGTGGCCTCTGGGGCTAAAGATGTGGAAGCCGACAGACGATTCGAACCACTTACTATGTGGCACATAGCCTAGAGCGATCAAATATAACATTCAGCATCCTCAGTTTAGAACAAATAATGACAATATTGTGGGTTGCGTTAAGCACATAGGTTGCAGCTTAGCAATCTCACAGTGATGAAGGAGTAGCGCAATATCACTCAAGGCGATAGCCGCCCGACCATAATGTGAAATTAGCAAGGTGGAGAATAATCACGGAGTACATCCAGAACTTCACTTAAGAGTCGTGGTGAAACATCCCCACTTTGGGGGATCTGGGCATTGCCACCATTCCAAAGCGTTCCTTCAGGTGGAAACTCAAACAAACAGCTGCCACTGTTGATCTCGCCGTCAACTGCGGAGTAGATCGACGGGGCAGAAAGATAGCTTTCGTTTCCAAAACCTGAATAGGACCTACTCAGCAAATCTTCAGGAGGCGGGGGCCTTCTGGTGCTCGGAGTATTCCAGCGCCTTCCCATATATGGTGCATTCGACCAAGAATAGTCCGCGACTCTTCCTCTACCAAGGCCAGACCTTGCAGGCAGCAGAGTCGAGCAGGATGACCGCTGTAAGTAGGATCTCCGTCTACTTTCCTGGTCTCGGGTCTCGTAGATATCACCCAAGTCTAGTGCTGGAGATGCTGTTTTGGTGACCACAGTTCCTTTCAACACGGCAGATCGAGAGCAACCGAAGATTGGGGGAGGAGAGGTAAGCAGGGCGGTAGAACATACCAAGTCATCTACACCGTGAGCGTAAGTACAGTCTTCGCCATGTATGCAATACCCTTGGAGAGTATGGAATACGCAAAGTTTGGTCTTGTAAGATTCATCCTTGCTAACAAGACTTGATAACAACGGGGATGTACTCTGTGGAGGACCTTCACCAATCAACAGAGACTTGTCATGGTCGTAACTCGCAGGTGATGAAGCTCGGCGCATAATAAGATCCGTTGCAATGCGATTAGATCTACAGGTGAACGCATAACAAGGGGGACATGCTTGTCCCGGTAGTGTCTCGTAGACGCTGCCCAGAAGACGGTCTGCGCTATTTGGGGCATGATTCGACCGCTGCTGAGGAAGATTAACAGTCACTCTAAGTTCAAGAGTTTTGATCCCTGAGATCTCTTATCGAAGCCTGCTACTAGCAAGTTGAGGTTCTTGATGCACGACAATGAAATCTCGAGCCCCCTGATTGAGACGGCGTGGGTATATCTGATCGGATGAAAGTGCCAGAGAAGCTTTAGAGTTTCATTAACGAGCCGACCATCCAGACCAGACTGCATAATTGAAGGAGATACGGGGAGTAGCGTACTCAAACGGCTTCAATAAGGATGAAATTAGCGCTGCAGACATGGTGTACAATTAATGGGACATTTTCATGTCCCGCTGTGACGCTACGTCACCAATCATCCACTAGTAATAGGATGAATTGTATACCATCTGATCAACTGGCTTGTAGCTTGTGGCCTCGACTTTGTTAAGTCTTTTGAGATCCTTATCATATTTGGTCTCTTCATTCCTGTGTTCGCTATGCGCATGTGTGCAGCATAGGATTAACTCAGCTAATTTCAACTAGAGTACTAGACTTTAGATTTGTTCTATGATCCCCTTTCGGAAGGAAGATGTACATCCAATGATGCTCGTATGTTAGAGTATGAATTCTCAAAGAGATTCGAAGTTCCTGTTTCGGTCATTATATCTGAGAATCGATCACTGGGGGGATAACTATCGAAAACAAGACCTTTGTAACGGTTTATAGTTTCTTATGCAACTCACAGTCATCAAACTCTGAGTACTCCACCCGTAAAAATGTGAGTTTTCGCAACAAGATTCCCAGGATGCAGAGGCTGGGTTGTGAGCCTTCTGGTTTTCGAGACCAGAAAACTCATCTGACCAGCCACATAACCCATAACTCTTTGGTTCAGGTCAAATGACACAAAGATTGAAATGGAGGGACAAATGGGGCAGATCACAAGTGTTTGCTCCATAGTTCATTTCCTTGTCCGAGAAGAATGTGCTCGATTTGTC